TTCTACGGGATTTCAACAGGACGATAGGGTATGGTTGTATAATAGTGATGGGTTGTTATTTAACTATCTGTTATTTTATAACAATTATTTAGAAATAACATAACGCAACCGTTAATGCTTTTAAAAAATAACAGATATAAAATAACGATACGCAGAGATCGAGTGTTCGTGAAACGAAGTCGGCGCTCTGCACCGCCACGAAATTCGATGCTGCTCGAAGCAATTCCAAAAAACAACTAGTATGCAGCGTTGTTACAAGGGCAAACATTTTTGTACTATAAATGGTGTCGAAATTGTACTTTATTAAGTGGGATTGTACATTTTTGGTGCAAAAATGTGGGGTCATGTGATCTCTCTATTTACCTTTTTACCAAGTTTTAATACGTAGGGTGCATCTTAATCTAAGGGGTCCATCCACACTATATTAAAATTTCTGACAGATGAATTTTTCAGCCAATAGAATTGCTGGAAATCGATTCAAGGTCGTTACGCCGATACACCGCCGCCGATCCGCTTTTTTTAGGATAAATGTGGATGCACCCTCACAGAATTATACACCATATGCTGTCCTCCTTTCACGCAGCTGAGCAGCTCTGAACTGTTCAAGAACGCGATACTCTCCCTCCATTCAATTGAGTCATAAAGTTCAGAACTGGTTCCGCGCCATATGGCGCTCCTTTCAGAACCGTTCTGAGCAACCCAGGGCGTAAAGCTCTGGAACTTGAACTTCGCAAATGGAGGACAGCTATACAGAAGCTACAAAGAGCTTTGAATAGCATTGGTTAATTGGGAACTAATTGCGTGACGTCACGTTTGACATCGGGACACTAATAGATCTCTAAGTGCGGCGTTACACGGTCCGTTTTTGCGGCATCCCGTTTTGCAGGATGCCGCAGAAACGGATCGTGGCCTCCAATTATACGATCCTGCAAAAACGGATTGTGGGACCTTCGTGCAGCTACTACGCACATTTTGATATTGTGTGGCAGAGGCGAAGGAACTATGTCCCTTTCAAAATTAAACATTGTTTTATTACTTGAAGCTAAAAATTTATTACGAGAGCCGAAATGCCGTAAAACCTGGGTTCATCCTTTTAATTCCGAACGCGAAAGAAGACGAAGATTTGAAAATTTTATTCTAAAATTCGAAAGTACAATGATAAATTCTTTGGCTACTATCGGATGTCTCAAAAATCTTTTGATGTATTGCTTGAAATATTGAGACCCAACATCACGAAACAAAACATGACAATGAAGATTCACCCATGCCCTTTGTCGTGCATCTTTGTTGGAATATTCAGGGTTTGATTTGTCCCAAAGGGCAGGTAGCCCACGAATTAGCTCGATAAATTGGTCCATATCAAACATATTTTGCTTTTCGCGATCAAAGCGGCATACCGCAGAAACGTACCGTGCTACAGTTTACATTCAACTGACTGTGTTGTCACCAAGGTTCCCGCATCCCGCAATCCTGCATTGCGGCAGCATGTCGCCGCACATCCCGCAAAAACGGATGGTGTTACATCTGCCATGCCATCTCATGCGATATTGCCATACCGCAAAATGGGATCCGCACTGCGGGACCTGCAAAAACGGACCGTGTAACGCCGCACTAAGGTCGCCAGTGATTAGCCCCCCTCCTACTCACCGCATGGATATCAAACTTACGGTTTGAGCAGCATTTCAAGTGATGTATAATTCTGGGCCTCTGCTCCTAGCAACCTGCATTTCAAATCCACGCATCGCGTATCACCGTTCGTCTAAAAATATGTACGTGGGTTTAAGTTCGGGTTAGTTTGGGTTTGAGAAGTAAGAATTGTACATTTTTTCTTGCAATTGTACCTATGTACTCCTTGACTATCAAATGTACCCAAAATAGTATAATTGTACCTATTGTAACAACACTGCTAGTATGGATGGAAAACCTATTATTTCGACAACCATCGATACAGGCGGCGAGATACAACGGACAACGGAGTGGGGTATGCGCTACGGCGCGGCGCGTCGTGTTGGGCTGACAACAGCTTAAAAATAATAGGATATAAAAGAAGCAGCTTTTTTGAAACAGTTGCGGGCATAACGCCTGGCTGTCGAGATAACAGGAGTGGGAAAGGAGCGCTGCTGCATCGGTCGATTGTCGATGGAGGCTCGCAACGGGTTGGAGAATAACGCATCAGTTGTTTTAGCTATGTTGTTTTTTTTACCTGTTACGAGCATAACAGAACGGCGTTCGAGATAATCGGAGGTTTGAAACAGGTTGGAGAATAACGCATCAGTTGTTTTAGATACATATTGTTTTTCAACCTGTTACGAGCATAACGGGCGGAGGTCGAGATAATATGGCGCTGTATGTTTCAATACTTTGTTATTAAGTTTCAATATTTAAGTATTTATTTATTCTGAAAAATTTTCAGAATAATATTTTAAGATTTTTTAAAAATGTATACAGGGTGTTTTGAAAAATCTGGTCATTGATTAATCACGATCCTGCTTAAAGCCCTTGACGTAAAAAGCTGATTTTTGGAAAACGGATTGACTGTGGGGTGTAGAGGTGGACATATTTTGAAATTTTTTAAAAAATAATACAGGGTGTTCCAAAAAGTTGAGTAATTGATTAACCACGATTCTGCTTAAATTGCTCGACGTTTAAAGCTGATTTTTGGTAAACGGATTGACTGTGGGGTGTAGAGGTGCGATAAGGAGGGGTTTCTCTAATCTCAAATTCCAAGAGGGTGAAAACGCCCCTCAAATAGTACAATATTTATTATTTAAAAAACGGTTAGTCTTTCGGGAAAACGATTGGACACGCATAATTTATTTTGTTTTTTACATATTTTGAAATTTTTTTAAAAATAATACAGGGTGTTCCAAAAAGTTGAGTAATTGATTAACCACGATTCTGCTTAAACTGCTCGACGTTTAAAGCATATTTTTGGCAAATGTGAGAAAATTTTATCCAGTTTGTATGTTAATGGAAATTCTTGCTTTGCTTTATCATCACCATTACAAATTAATAATTCGATGCGAACGAAGTCGCGGGTACAACTTAACAAGTATAGCTAGAGACGTGAGAAATATAAAATAAGAGACGCCCCCGATGCGCAGTGGACATCCCACAAATTTGCTTCAATCAGATTTTTCGTAGCGTAACTGCATCTCTCTTCCGCCGAATGCGTTCTCTCTCTATCGTGTGCTCGACCGGTGCTATCCCCAAGTCTCTGCCTATATTTGTCAAACTGTACATGCTAGTTTAAGTGTAAAATTAATTCTAACTCTAGTGTGTAGTTGGTTTACTTATGAAGAATATACTACACGTTTTCTTATATTGCTATTTTTTGACCGCAAATGGTAAAATCATAACGAAGAGCTTCTCGCCCGTCGAGTGAGATGCACCCTGTACACTGCTACGCAATTCAGAATCTATGCGGATCGAGGGGTAGGGCGTAGGTAGATCGGAATTTATAGATATAGACGAGTGGCGGCATTTTGGCTTTTTTATATCGCAATTTGTAAACAGCGCTTATTTGTAAACAACCCCCGTTTTTAGAGGGGTATTTTAGATAACAATCGATATTTAGAAATGTTATGACACCCTGGAAATACTACCACCGAGCACGTCATTGTTGCAATTGCGTTATTACGCCTGGCGGTGACCGCCTCATATTCTTTCAGATATTTAGCAATAAAATAAAGAAACCTGTTATTTTTAAGCTGTTATTTTAAGCTGTTTTTTATAAATAACTATAACAGTTTCAACTGTTATCTAAAAATAACAGTTTTGCCCATCACTATTGTATAACCCACAGCGCAAGAAAGGAAGGTCCCCAAAGTTAACTCCAGCATGGGAAGGTCCTTATACAGTCCTCAAGAGGATAAATGATGTTGTGTACCGGATTCAGCGCAGCCCTAGAAGTAAGATGAAAGTAGTTCATCTCGATCGATTGAAGAGATACCAGACAGGAAACCTTGATCGGGACGATCAAATTTGAGAAGGGGGCAATGTTAAGGTCAAGGTGGTTGCAATGTTAAGGTCACTGGTGGCAATGTTAAGGTCACTGGTTGCATAACCGCAACGGTGCATTGAGGAACCTGGCGAATTCGACAGAAAGTAAAAGAAAATTACAGAATTCTTTAGAAAATTCCAGAAACCATCGCCAGGGGGTATATAAGGCCCGCGCTTTGACAGTTGCAGAAGTCTGAAGATAGTCTGAAGTCTGAAGTTTGATAATACCGCGAAATACCGTTAGAGTAATAGTAGTTGCATAAATTGTGTAGTAAATAGTATAAGTTGTGTGTACAGAGTGAGACAAATAAATTCGTTAAGTATTTTATCGTGAGTTTAAATAGTGGACCCACGGAATCCGTAACAGTATATAGACACTGTGCTGAATTCTTCGAAATGCGCAACTAAATCTCTAAGTATAATAAAAATGTCAAAAATTTAATCAAATTTTCTGAACGCCTAACTTTTAGTTGCAAAAAAAATCGTTAGTATAGAGAATATCAAAATAAATAATACGTTTTTGTAGAATACATACCTGTAGCTTGCTGAGTCATTTTCAATGAAAACAATAATATAAATGTAAAAAGAGCACAAGAACAACAACAATTTATAATTTTAAACATAAATTTTAGCCATTTAACTCTTATCTGTGAGAAGTAACAACTTTGACGTTTCGTTGAAACAAGTGAATGCAACTAAACACACCCATAGCAACGCCATTCATGGCAGACATGATTTAACTTATCATTTATCTTTTTTTGGGAAATCTTAATCACATTTGCTTTTTCGAATTTCGATCACCTTTTTCATGCTAATACCCCACCGTGGGGCGTCGTGAGACAAATGATCAACTTAGTAAATAACAGACACCCTAGTACACAGGGTCCGGCAATAGTGCGTCGGGTATATGTTATAGCTCCTAGAATAGAAAACTTGAGGAAGTGAAAACCTCTGTTTTAATTTATTACATATAATGCGATTGACTTGATCACTTTTAGGTACCAAAAGTGACGACTTTCTGCCAATTCATGAGTCAAATCTAGAGTCAGAGCATAGTTCCGAAACCGAAACTGTCATTGCAAAATTGTTAGCTGTGGCAGATGCCACCGATACGGCTTCGGGGATGTACAGCTTCATCGAACGTAACAGGTACTGAATTTTGATACTTAAAGATAATATCATTTAGATAATATACATTATACCGTATTATAGATCACACCATCATACCAATCCAACTTTTAGTCACGCGATTAAGCTGGACCGGCACAGCGTTACCCACTTTTACATATTTTCTTTTAATCTTAATATTTTAAAAAGCAAAAATAAATTAATTATAAATATATAAACAGTTATTATTTACATCAACAAAACTCACCTCCTTAACAGCACTTAAGAGTCCATTTCACTAGTCCGAAAAAGCAGCAAAAATGAGTTCTGCATTTAACGTTTTATGTAAAACTGGCTAGGTATTTTTCCACAAATGAAGAAGGAAATTAAAGATAAAGGATTATACTATATCCGTATTGTAGCACATTTTTAGACAACTTCTTTATTTTTAAGACATCAAAGTCAACCACCAAGAAAATATTCCTTATCTTTGGACTAAATTTTCTCGAAAATAGAGATGTAATTTAAAATTCCGTTACAATACAGAAATAGATTGAAGTTTTGTGATTACAGTAATATATAATTTATATGGTTTTGTAACAAATTGCTCCCTATTTTATGACAAATGCTAAAGCTCTGCAAACCTTAATCGAGCCTTAATCAAAGCACGTGTGTTTAGAATTCTGGACGTGGCTTGACACGACAGGATCGGGCTAAACCTTAACCTATATATATATATATATATATATATATATATATATATATATATATATATATATATATATATATATATATATGTACAGCGTAATAATACAGTCTTAAGGGACATAAACGACCATTACTACCGCTTTCCCGTTCAAAATATTCTAATAAGGTTTATTTAAGCTATCACAACACAATTCATTTAAACCAAAAACTGGTAATACAAAACTAAAGTGTCAAAACGAATGACAATATCAAGAAATAAATAAATCAATGTGGCAACTTGACACTTTTTACAGCGCAGCTACCACCAGAGAATCCCCCAGCGAGAAATTTTAAAAATCGCGTCCTCGATAACGTAACTAAAAGTTTAATTGGTATCGATTATATGAGCGAACCATTACTGTATACAGGTTGTTAACTCGACAGTTACTTATAGGGGAATAGAATGGCAACACTGCCTATTGAGAACGCATGCACTTATAGGGTTTTCTGCCGACTCGTCCCATCCGTCGCGTCGTCTATCGACGAGCGGGCCGATGTATGCCATATTTCAACCATAAAGCTCTTGCCGCGAGTAATATACAAATTAACAACCTGTATATTAACAAACTCTTGTTTTGTTGACAATTTTATCAATTTTTTACATGTTTAAGGTACAGCAGAGATGATGTCACTACCAGTTTGATAGCACTTAAAGACATGTTCAGGTCGCAGGACTTCAAACACTTGGTCGTCAAGAAGGCCATCGTTTACCAAATCTTGAGATCGAGAAACAAGAACAAGAAGCTGAAGAAGTACAGGGAGAAGAAAATTTCCTTCCAATCAGTATAGTACCTGATTTTCGGCATCGATCGGTTCATCAAACCTACAGGGTGGCTATGAAAAGTCTCTCTAGAAAATTCTAGAACTTAATAAGTAAATTTTACTCGTCTGACATACATGTACTTGCAACAATGCAATTTATGCCAAAAATCGCATATTATTGACTTATTAGTTAAGAAGTTTAAATTAAGGGAAAAAAGAAAAAAATAAAATTATTTAATTCCAAGTCTTCTTTCAATAATTATTTACTTTGAATAAAAATATTCAAAGAGGAATGTATTCATGCAATAGAGATGGAATCGACATTATGAACACCCATTTTTGACAGTTATGTTTGACGTTTCAATTGACACATTTGAAAATTTGCGGATTTATTGTGTTTTTTTATTGAGCTGATTGTCAAATGTTGAAAAAAGATATACAGGGTGGTCCGAACTTATTCGGGAAAATTTTGCAGATAAAATAAGTAAAAAAGTTCGTATGAATGTGTGTCCTAAAATGCTTCGTTTTGGCGATACAGGGTGTAGAAGTTTTATTTTTATTTCGATTTTTTCCAAATAATTTCTGAACTAACGTTGATATTTCTATAAAAATTGGTGTCTGGGAGTTTTTTGATATAAAAATTTGATTTTAATATCAATATGGCCTCTACTTGTAGAAAGCGCCACCTACATATTTTTTAAGTGGTTTGAAAGATAATAACTTTTCGGCTGTATCTGTATAAAACTACTGAATAAAAAATTATATATTTACGACATTTTTTTACGTAAAAAAGGTCTCTTGCTAAAAATCGCTACGAGTAATGGTTCTCGAGATATTTGGAATCGAAATTATCAATACCTGTCATCACTGACACAAATTAAATCGGTTGACTAATATTTATTAAACTGAAAGAAACGATTTAAAATGTTTTTGTGCCAAAAGTTTTGAAATTAGAAACTGTTGTATCATAATTTTCTGGAAGAAAAGATTTAGAAAAAATAAAAAGTTTCCAAATTTATCATTTCAGTCAAATAATTATCTACTCAACATGTTTATTTTTTTGTCAATAATGACATTTATAGACTATTTCTATTCTAAATCTAAAAAAAAAACGGTTGCTCGTAGCAATTTTTACCAAGAGACATTTTTTATATCAAAAATGACTGTAACTGTAATATATATTTTTTCACTCAGTAGTTTTATACAGGTACGGATGAAAAAAATCAAATATCGACTATAGTTCAGAAATTATTTGTAAAAAACAGAAATAAAAATTAAACTTCTACACCTTGTATCTCCGAAACGAAGCATTTTAGGACATACATTTATACGAACTTTTTTACTTATTTTTATCTGCAGAACACGCTGCCGAAGTTACTCGAATACAATTCGGACCACCCTGTATATGAAGTCTCGTCAAATCAAACTTTAAATAAATACACAATTTGTTTACATTTGCTTGTATATCTTGGTTCAAAACAAATCAGTATAACGATGTATCCTCGTATAAGTTCGTTGGTACCGAGACCGAGTATACAGGATGTATTTTTGAATATATCGAAAAAAATATCAAGAAAATTAGATTAAACTTACTTGTATCCCGTCAGGATATTGAGAAGCGATGATTTCCCAGCACCCGATGGACCCATAATGGCGGTAAGTTCACCCGAACGTAGTGTACCAGAAACATTTTTCAAGATCACCTTGTCTTCTGCAAAAAAATCGTTTTTATGAAAAAAAAATGATAAAATATCCTCAGGCACTAATTAATTGGGCTCTTTTACCTTTAACACGGAGTACTGTAGCCAAATAATTAAATTTTTAGAAATTGTGAGTCATGCGATCGTTGGAAAACTACTAAATCTACAACTTAAAATTATTTTCAAAACGTACAGAGTGTCCCAAACAAATAAAAAATATTAGTTACATTTTTTTAAATGCAACACCCTGTATATTATTACATTTTCAGTTTCTACGATTAAAATAAGGGTAAATTTGATAGGGCTCTAACTCACTGACGACCAGGTCGCAACGACCTGGCCGTCGGCTGGCCGGATGTATTGCGTTTATAACTGCGGCCAGTTAATAAATACCGGTGTGGTAAATGGATTAAGTAAAATCTCCAACCCCGACTATACGATAACGTCGCTATTTCCATGTTTTTCAAATCCGCGATGCCTGATGCCTGCTATTCCATCAGTCGTTTCATAACAGAATATTCTACATCCTACGTATATGTAATTTAATATGTGTAGAGTGAGACATGTAACTCGTGAGATTTTCAGCATTATATCAATAATGGACAAAAACAGTATTGTTCCTAAAGGCTCGTCCAGACTTTGGCATTTTAGCCCGAACGAACCGAGCGCGCACGAACAAGCAGAACAAATAGGCCGAACAAATATGTATAATATGCTTTATACGATAACGTCGTTATTTCCATGTTTTTCAAATCCGCGATGCCTGATGCCTGCTATTCCATCAGTCGTTTCATAACAGAATATTCTACATCCTACGTCTATGTAATTTAATATGTGTAGAGTGAGACATGTAACTCGTGAGATTTTCAGCATTATATCAATAATGGACAAAAACAGTATTGTTCCTAAAGGCTCGTCCAGACTTTGGCATTTTAGCCCGAACGAACCGAGCGCGCACGAACAAGCAGAACAAATAGGCCGAACTAAAAGCACTGTGTACGCGCGACCGACAAAAAGGGAGATATTCTGTTTCTTTTTTCTACTGATATGGACTTCTACTGATGGCTCTTATCGACTTTAGAAGTAAACATATTAGGGCCATCGTAAAAAAAAGTAGTCAGACCAGGGCAGACATTGGCTCTAAATATAAGCAGGTAGAAAGTTTAGCTTCCAGTTATTTCAATGTTTACAATATAAATTCCTCTTTTTTATTGTTACTGAGAATCTACAACAGTAATTACTTCTATTTTTATGAATGTTTAAGTTACTTTTACTCTTAATTTTTTTTTTAAATAATGTACCTAGTCGAAATATAGTCTAATGAACCCTGTTTGAAAAACGTTAAATTAAATATAATATTTAAAATACAGTTGTCCTCCTTGTACATGACTACAATACAACTAAAAAAAATTGATAAAAAAAATAAGTGGTTGTAGAAAAACTTTAAATATTATCTTTTATCATTTAAATTCGCAACCAAACCGGACGACCGGCAATCGTATTATGACGTATATAATTCCAACGTAAGGTGCCAGGTAAAGGTGCGTATTCATTATCCGAACAAACGAACGAACGGACGAATGTTCGCTAGTGGTATGGACGGGGACCGTACGATAGAACCGCACGAGAAGACCGAACGCGAACGCCTTTGATGTACCGACTCGAAACGGATGGTCGAGCGAACGAACGGCCGCATGCGTTCGGTCCCCGTCTAAATATACCGCATTTTCATGACGACCATCCGTTTCGAGTCGGTACATCAAAAGGTGCGTATTCATTATCCGAACGAACGAACGAATGAAAGTGCGGTATATTTAGACGGGGACCGAACGCATGCGGCCGTTCGTTCGCTCGACCATCCGTTTCGAGTCGGTACATCAAAGGCGTTCGCCAACAAATGCCACCGGTCTTCTCGTGCGGTCCCCGTCCATACCACTAGCGAACATTCGTTCGTTCGTTCGTTCGTTCGTGCGGATAATGAATACGCACCTAAAGACGTTCGCGTCCGGTCTTCTCGTGCGGTTCTATCGTACGGTCCCCGTCCATACCACTAGCGAACATTCGTTCGTTCGTTTACCTTAATTAAGGTGCGTATTCATTATCCGAACGAACGAACGAACGAATGAAAGTGCGGTATATTTAGACGGGGACCGAACGCATGCGGCCGTTCGTTCGTCCGTTCGCTCGACCATCCGTTTCGAGTCGGTACATCAAAGACGTTCGCGTCCGGTCTTCTCGTGCGGTTCTATCGTACGGTACGTATCCACTAGCGAACATTCGTTCGTTCGTTCGGATAATGAATACGCACCTTAAGGTTTACGATCTTGGAAAACGCAGTAACAATTTTAATGCTTTATTTCTCTATGCATATTTAAGTTTTTAAAACTAAATATTGTACTGAATATTTTCAATTTACTAAATTTTGTGTTGCATTAATAAAAATTATACTACCTTATACAGAGTGTCTCAAAATTTATTTTAAATAAGTGTTAGCTTTAAACGGCAATAACTTGTTTAATTTAAATGGAATACCCTGTATATTTTACGAGAATCAGATGCACAATTTAATTTTCTATCAAATTGTATTATACCATTTTTTATAACTATCTTTTCAAGTTTTCGTAGAAAATGCATTTTCTTATAATTTAGACCTCATTTTTATGAATATACCAGTAGAAATCATATGATATTTAAGAATCATAGAACTTATTGCCATATTATATGTAACAAGAAAAAAGCCAAAATTTCGAAATATGTAGTACCTTTTACCATAAAACCACTGAACTATTATTATAGGTACGTTTTTTCTATAAAAGTTAGGATTTTAAAAAACAATTATGTATCGATATTCTCTCAAAGCCATGGTCAAAAGTACTGAACCTTGACACGCTTCGGAACCTTCGTAGAACCTCGCTTAGAACCATATTATTTTCCCAAGATTTTAGAAAAGTTTAGTGTCGCTATAAAAACGACTAAAATACAACAGCAAAGGTAAATTTAATCAATAATAGAAAAACTGCCAATTACAACCATTACGTAAATTTTTCAATTATCATTACTTTTTGATGTTATTTTTTTAATATGACGAGGCGACTTGCTATTGTCGTAATGTCATATTCACAGTTACATTTGATGTACTAACGATTGAATATGGCACTATTAAAAACAGTGCAAATTGTTGGTGGCAACTTCATTTCGCATTTAAAAATTAACCAAGGAGTGTGTTGGTATGAGCACAGGTATGAGCCAAAAAACAAAATGCTCAGAAGGTTCTGACCGAGGGGTGAACACTTAGGGGATTTATGGTGTACACATGAGAGGATTTCCAGGGGATGTACCGAGGATGTAGTGGATGTACCGAGGATGTACTAGAGGATGTAGGGGATGTACCGAGGATGTAGGGGATGTACCGAGGATGTACTAGAGGATGTAGGAGATGTACCGAGGATTTACTGGGGATGTATTTCGAATTATTTGGGGCGTAATTTGCCGAATGCGATGTTTCAAGTCATCCAAATTTGTGGGTTGTCTTTTAAATACATTTTCCATAAGGTATCCTCTTCGGTATCCTCTTAAAAAAGTTTTTTTTCTAATATTTTTTTTTCACTTTTTAATTTTTAAATAAGAATAACTCCAAAAAGCTTGGATTTGGGTATAGTACATACATGGAAAATATTCAGAATTTTAAGGGCAATTCAAAAATGCAGAAAAATAATAATTATGTTGCCACGAGGGTTGCCATTAAAAGAAATTGTTTTGGACAAAGCATTTTTGAGACACCCTGTATAATATTCATTTTTTGCATAATCTGCCCCGGAAAAATTAAAATAATTGATGTGGCCGAGCGATTTCCAAAAAATGTGGTTCTCGAGATGTTGATATTTATTCAATATTTTACAACCACCCTGTACGAAATCAAATAAGATCGAATATCGATATTGTGAATATAGATAGATATAGATATTTCCGATATGAAGTATTCATAAAGAGATATAGCGGTATCTGTTATATCGATAGCTATATCGATATTTATGGACCAATATATCGTTACTTGGTTTTCACGTATGTGAATTAGCTTGTGCACATCCGTTTTTCTCAATGAATTTATTAAATAAAGTTTGCACAAGCCGATTTTCACAAGCCGATTTGCACAAATTTCATGGGAGTGAAAATGGACCTTTATTTAATATATCGATAAAAATATCGATACTCAAGGCTTTGTGGCTCACCCCTACTCATAACCTCAAAATATCTCGCAAAATGTATGTATAAGTCAGATATATAGCCTTTAATCCATATCTCTGGTATAAGTTTATGCAAAAATGTGTTTGTGTGTGTTCATATCTTATTGCATAGTGCCGTAAGCGTTATGAATTAAAGGGAAGTGTGTGTAAATAATTATTATTGTACCCTCTATACGTCAAAAACGAAGTTCATAAATGCGAATGCCTTTAACGTTGCCTATTTTTAGGTCTGTTTTATAAAGTAGATCCTCGGTAGCTCTAGATCTCATTTTTATTTGGGGTTCAAAACACGAGATTGATAACTTTGCACATAATATAGGGCTTTACGCATGACTAAGTTATTTTTTCCGCCGACATAAACTGCATAAACCGAGGCATAAACTGCTGTTATACAGGGTAAGTCTTAAATAAGTGCAAATATTTTCAGGGGTGGTATATTTTGACCCCAGGAACACGTCTATGATGTTTTTTTGCAAATAAAATATGTTAAAAATCGTGCATGTTCTTTTAAATTTCCCTGTATATTTTTCGAAAACTTTTTAGAACTGCCTGTTCACCGCTAATTTTCCCACGTTATAAATTCTTAATCTCTGATATTACCGTAGTTACAGCTTTACTCTATGGTTACGGCACTAAAAGGGATGCAAATACAGAAAAAAATCAGGTGGCTATCAAAATTAAAAAAATCATTTATTTTTTAAATTTTCAAACTTAAATAACTCGGTTATTTTGGACTTATTTGAAAAATGGTAAAGAAAAAATATGTT